ACCATAAATTAAACTAAATTATGGTAATTATGACCTTATTTCCATAATCAATGAGACAAATCTCCCCAAAATAAAGTCTACAGTCATATTTCATGGAGATATGAGATCACTGAATTCTTGTCTCAACTGCATGTAACCTGAGCTCAATTGCATGTACAATGACATGTTCAAATATTTGTACCTTGCTTGTGCACACTACTGTAGCAATAGATTTTGCGGGGTCATAGCTTCTCATTTTTAGGAATAATTACACTAATACTGTGTTCTGCTACATGTGTACCATCAAGGTCAAATACATTTTCTTGTATAGCTGGAAGACAAAGTAGAATGTTTGTTGTGCCCTAACATCGAACGCTTTTTCACATGCTAGAACTCAAGGTCCACTATTGCTAGTTGTAAGGGAGTGGTCAGGTTTTCATGAATGAATTTTGAAAACATTTGTGTAGAGAAGGTACTTGGGGAAATGCATCCATATTGTTTATGAGCTGTCCTCCCTCCACGTTACAAGCGGCAAACTCTGTGAGACGTTTTCGTGAATGTACCCTTGTGAATGGCTGATGCCAGACAGTGTGTCCTGACTTCGCACGCTTTTGTAGTTTTGCTGTCTTCAGATGAATTTAAGTGAGCAGGAGTAAGAACCGAATATTATGATATTTCAGCTTTCCTTTGATGGTAAAATTCGCGATTGTGTGTACTTCTCTTCTCACGTGAGGAGGGTTGCATTGAACGCAATCAGTCAGTGTTTCCACTGAAAACCCGGGTTATGCAATCAATTTGGCCCCATAGGAATCATGCAGACGACAGTGGTGTTGACTTTGTTTTTCTCGGGTCTGTTTTTTTAAAAAACAAACACTCAGAGACCGAAATTTCTGCTGTTTTGTAAAGCTTTATGTTCAGTGTATGTAGCAGTTGTGTGACTGCTTGGCAAAGGTAGTATTTTTCGGGGCAGGAGCCGCCGCTACCAAGGGACTCTCTTTTCAGCGCCATCATCATTGGCAAAATTCTGTTTTTCGACAAAACGTTTGAATCCTGTGACTAGTCTAGGGTACTAAAGACTAAGCTAGCAATAAGTATTTTTAAAAATAAAGACGACAGTTTTGGGCCTCAAACACTGGGAGTTTATTTACACAAGAAAAAGGTTCTCCCATACACGTTCACACAAGTCACTATTTCTACACATGTACACCTAACTGTAAGGCTAAGTTATCTACACATAATTTTACTTTCAGAACAAAGGTATCACCTATAAGGTACTTTACTACACATTGGTTCAAGCGATTAACATGATAAGACATTTCATGAATACTTGAGAGCGAAAAGTGGAGAGCGAAAATTACAGACAAGAAGTCGGGTGGGTGGGATAAGGGTAATTTCGAGAAGCGGCAGCCGGCCGGCTAGGCGGAGTGTGGTCTGTGCCACGCGATCCCCGGCACGACATTAAGGCTGAACCAGGGACCGGAGTTAATTAAAACTGATTGTTATCGTACAGTTGTAGGAAGTACCCTGCTGTGTTTCCCTGAGTCAGGGAAAAAATCGGTTTCTGAGAAGTGAGGTCAAGAGTTCTTCAAAACTTAAATGAACTTATGGTCCATTTTCACTTTGAATCCTGTGACTAGTCTAGGGTACTAAAGACTAAGCTAGCAATAAGTATTTTTAAAAATAAAGACGACAGTTTTGGGCCTCAAACACTGGGAGTTTATTTACACAAGAAAAAGGTTCTCCCAAAGCCCAAAACTGCTTATTAAACTAAGTTAGAGGTAGGTAGTGATAGTAAATACAAGTAGAGTAGCCATCTAGAATAAAGTACGTAGTTTCTCGCCTATGGTATTCATAACAGTGAGACGGCCTTGCAAGTTGATAGCTAGGTAATACAAATACAGAGTCGGACTTCCAATCTCCCATGATCTTAATGAGGTCAAGCGGAACACCGCATTCTAGCAGGTAAGAGGCGCCACCTCTGCGGAAAGAATGGCCAGCAAAGGCCGACGGGTCAACCCCTAGCGCGGTGAGACTGGAGCGGAGTTTTTTCAGAAAGCCAGGATAGGTGAGCGGGAGCAGAGAGCCAGAGCGATCTTGGTAAAGAAAGGCAGACTGGTGGGGCAAGGCTCCCGGTGTCTTTTGGAATGCCAGGGCCAGAGCGGCGCATGGGCAAAGAGGGGAGCCAGCGAGAGTGGGAAGGGGAATTTCACGGGTCCTCTCGCCAAATTGGATGGTTTTTGAAAACCTGCATGTGACGGTGAGACCCCAGACAGCACGTTTGAGGTCGCCGCGACAGAGGTGTTTAGAGGGCGAAAAGGCGTGTTTGGACGACGGAACCAAATTGGCTTTTCGAAAAAGGCAAAAGAACGCAATCAGGCACGCTGCCCAAAAGGTGGCGTCGACACTTATTGATAAATCTAAGGTCGACAAGACTCCTAGTAGAATGAGGGGAGTGATTGGTAGCTTTCGGCGGGGGGTGTCGCTCTTAAAGCGCCTAATTCCTTTCAGAACCGTGTGCAATTGCCAATTTTGGATAGTAGGATTAGGCAGACCAAATTCTTTATGTAGCAGGGAAACAATGTTCAGATACTGCCTGACGCTCGTGTAGGTTAGCGAGCGGGCTAGGAATGCTGCATAGCGACAGACAGTCTCCGTGGTAGCCGGCACTGGGGGATAGCCCATGAAGAGACAGAATTGTAGGTACGCCCGGAGGTGGGTACCGTAGGTTGATTTGGTGCTGTCTGCGAAGGTGGAGGCTCGGAATGCACTGATTTCGGCATCCAAGGTCCGTTCCAACGCGGCGGCCACGCTGGGGGGCGGCGATACGTCACGCCCTGCGGAGAGAGAGGGCGAGAGGTCATGGGGGGTCCAGAAGAGGACATAGGCCGAGGATCAAGAGAGAAGAAGGGCGCTGTTTTGTCCGCCCAAGCAGAAAAGAGGTTTTGGAACCGGCGGAGGTGGGCCGGGTCATGCAAGCGCGAGATGGAATCAGCAATGGTGTTTAGGCAGCCTTTGACATAACGGGCGGTGACGCGGAAGTTGTAGGCTGCAGAAAGCCAAAACAAATGACGTAATTCTGGCATGAGATTAGAACAGCGTGTGGTGCCCTTATTGATAAAGGCCTGAGCTGCTATGTTGTCTGTATGAATGATGACATGACGGTTTGCCCACAGAGGGGCCCAGCGTTTGGCGGCATAACAAATTGCCAGGGTTTCTTTCTGATTAATATGCAAGTCGGAGTAAGCAGGGAGGTCTGAGGACCAGTTGACATACATCCAGTCCCCGTTGAAGAACGCCCCGCCCCCGACTTGACAGGCATCTGTCATCACGTCCACAATAGGAATGTCATCCAAAAAGAAACGCTTGCCATTGAAAGAGGTCATGAACTGAATCCACCACAAAATGTCCAATTTGAAGTTAGACGAGAGCTTGGCCTTGTGGTGCGGCCGCTTTAGTTTGTTGAGGGTGTCAAGAATTCTACGCAGGAATGTTCTCCCGCCGTAGACAACCCTACACGCCCAATTTAGCTTCCCAGCGAGATGCTGCAGTTGTCGCTTAGTAGCACGAGGTTTATGCCAGAACTCGGCTAGTAGGGAACGGAGTTCGGGAAGCTTTGCCGCTGGGAGCGACACAGTTTTGTCGTTACTGTTAATCTGAACTCCCAGGAATATTATGCATTGTGCAGGCGGAACAAGCTTATGCTGAGAAATTTGAAAGCCAAGTTCCTGCAGGAGCTCCATGAGCATTAAATATGCCTGAAGACACTCGCCATATGTCTTCCCAATAATGAGGAAATCGTCCAGATACACAATAATCATATCAAATCCGCGACGCTTCATCATGCGCCGCACAGATTGGGTAATGCGATGAAAAATGCCCGGACTACTTTTAGCGCCAAAAGGAAATTTAGTGTCATACATGTAGGTAGGGTGGGCGTGACCGTCAAAGTGCCACTTACAGCCTAGGTTTTTGTAGCAGGAGGGGTGAACATGGACAGAGCGATAGGCGGATTTTAAGTCAATTTTTGCCATATAGTAGCCAGGTTTGATAAGGCGAAGAGCGTCATCAATCGTTTGAAACTTCACTTTGTCTATTTCGATGTAATCATTGACCGCTACCCCCTCCGGTTTGCTACAGTCGTGGATTAAACGAAGTTCGTCCGAATCTGGTTTAGGCACAGCCCCGAAAGCGCTGACAATGTGAGGTTTCGTCTCAGTGACAACGTAGTTACCAGAGTGAATTTCCTGTAGAATCTGCTGTTCAATTTTTTGTCTTCTGTCCGCGCTCGTGACAGATTGATAGTTTGCCACCTCAACGGGCGGTATGTCATTTATATCTGGAATGAGTCGAAAACCATTTTGAATGCCCTCGAGAAGGAAGTGTTTGTCCGGGTCATTATGAAGTTCCCGAGCCCATACTTTATAATCAAGGGGTCGGGAGCCGTGCATAGAATGACTACTAGTATTTTGCACTAGTCAGTTTGAAGCCGAAGGACTAGTTGGCACGTGCCGGCTCTGCGGGTGGCTTTGGCCGCAATTTGGCACCCAGCAGACGTGTTCAAACCGGCAGGGAGAGTGGGGACATCCGGCGCTAGCAAAGTTGAATTTGCGACAAATGGGCTTGCCGGTTGTGGCCAGAGGCGCCTGGGCCTTGGTAGGTTTGAGAGGAGAGGTAGTAGCGGGTGGAGTGGAACGGGACAGGGGATCCAGATGTTTGGTCATAAGATGCTGGGAATCCGCACCCCACCGAAAGTTGTAATTGGCTTGCAGGGTGCGATACTCCCTGTCAAACTCTAGCACAGACACCCAGACATAGCGCTGACTGAGCTCCAGAATCTTAACCGTGTAGGCCATGTAGTCGTGCAAGGCAGAAGAAGACAATTTGGCGGTGGACAGCAATTTATACATGATCTTCGTGTTGGCAATGGCCCACTGGCTCACCGTCACGCTTTTTAGTGCGGGTTTCTTTCCCCCCATCGAGATAAGCAGTTTAGTCCCCCCCGAAGTTGTGGCGACCTGTTCTTGTTTAACTAAAGAACTGGGAGAAAGGAAGTCGACTATTTGTAAGGCCGTCTCACCTGTGTTTGTCGCCAAGTACACCAGCGGGTCCTGGTCCAGACGCAGCAAGGGTGAAGAGGCGTGTGGCGGTGTGGACGCTGCGACGGCCGTCCCCGGGAGGGTGGCTGCGGTGGGGCGCGACAGCAGATCGTCTAAGGCCAGGGAAGAGGACGACAGCTCCTGCATGGCCGCCTGAATGTGTGGATTCCGTCGCAGTTCTTGTAAGTTGGTAGGGGTCGGGATGCCGGCTGCTGGTGGTACTCCGGTCGAAAATGTTCCAGGGGGAAGCGGTCCGAGAGTCCCGCCAGCCAGCGGTGGAAGGCCCGGTTGTGCTGGAGTTCCGCCGGTGGTTAGCGGCAGTGTTGGCGTTCCTCCGAGCGACGGAGAACCGGTGGTACTGGTGGTAAGCGGCAGAGTCGGAGTTCCGCC